ACACTTTGCATCCCTATATTTTGCACTAAATTTCACTTTGATCCCTGCATATGAAATCGTGACAGTTAACCCCCTGTACTTTTAGTCAAATTCCACTTTGGTCCCTATACATGAAATCGTGTCAATCAACTCTCTACACTTGGTCAAGTGTCAATGTCCCATTCTGTTACTATATTGTTTAAGTCTTTAATAGGAATTCAGGCTTATGATAAATATGTGACTACAAAATGAGAATAAGAGAAGAAAATTATTCTTATTTTTCACCAATACATACTTTCTCTTACGTGATAAACATATAAGAAAATTAGGACAAAAAGTAAAGAAAACAGAACTCTTTTCAAATAAATAAAGGTAGCAGAGAAATCAAAAAGAGGGAAGAGGAATATTCTATCGTTACTGTGAAAAACAAAATTTTGTGATTTTTATTTCTACAAAAAATTTTTAATTTGTCTCTTTAATTGTTCATAATTTGTGTTTTGTTTTAATCGAATATAGACAAAATATGATATAAATTTTGGGATGTGTATAAGCGGGAAATGTGCATGATTTTCCTCCTTTGCTCTTATTTTGTAGTAATATGTTTGTCACATTACTGACCTCTATTAAAGATTTATATGGTAGAGTAACAAAAAAGAGACATTGATACTTGACTAGAAATGTAAGGATTGACTATCACGATTTCATGTGTAGGGACCAAAAGATTTGACTAGAAGTGTAATGGCTTGATTGTCATAATTTCATGCAAATTGCAGGAGTGCAAATTATAATTTACCTAGGAATTTTCTTTAAAATACAAATATTAACACATTCAATAAATTAGAAAAATATAAAATTTTAAGAAGTGTGAATATTTTTAAATGCATTCATACTAACTTTCATACTTTCTAAATAATATCTTAATAATTAAAAGTATAAATGTTCAGATTTACAACTTTCGCACTTATTACAAAATTCACACTATTATAATGCAAGGAAGATGAGTCTCATGACAAAATACTTCTCAAAAGTATGAAATTTTATAAGTGAATTTTTTTTCCCAATTTCAAATTCTAAAAAATTGTATTTTTTTTTCATTTTACATAATTTTGTATTTAATTGAGAACGATCTCGCTGAGTAGTTATAAAAAAGGGATTAAATTCATTTTACATCTTATGATTTAAATATAGTCAGAAAATTTCCAAGTGATATTGGAGGATTAAAGTCTCGTTAATTTTTTCATTCAAATTGACGGAAGGTGTATTACACACAATATTTTAAAATGGGTTTAGCTTTTTGAAAAAATAACATGAAATTAATACAACAAAAAGATTAATATGTTAATTAAAATAAAATAAAATAAAATATAATTAACAATTAATTTAAAATATAAAATATAACTAAATATTTTAAGTAAGAATATAAAATACATAATAATTAGAAATTGATCTAAAATATGATTAAATTAAAATTAGATTTAAAATTTAGCAATTACAATAACTAATTAAATATTTAAGATTAATTGTGATTTAAAATATAATCAAATTAAAATTAGAATAAAAAGTTAAGAATTACAATAAATGATTAAGAATATATAATTAACTGTGTTTTAATTGAATTAATGTTTAAACATTATAAACTATGTATATTAAAGGGTATTATACTAATTTTACATCTTTAGTTAACTACGTTAGTGGTTATATTTTAGTTCAAAATCATATGATGAGATCTTTCAGACAATTTTTGAATTATAAGGGTAAAGTACTTTAGCCTTAAATCACAAGGGGATAAAATAAATTTTACCTTATAAAAAATCTAAATTATAGAAAAAAACAGATGTACATTTTAAAAGTTGTAAAATTTTCAAGTCTTGAAACATTAGAAAAAGAAAAAACAAAAAAAGAAGTCTTTCATATAAACATGTTAACTATGACTTTCCTAAGGGTTTAGTCCCTAGGGGAGGTCATAGGTTTAAATCTCCTTAAGGAAGTTGAATTAAAGAGGCAAGCACTTGACTTTGTAAAGAATGCAGAGGCTAACTCTCACAGGTATTAACCTAATAATTAATAATTGATTTTCACTGATCAAAAAATATATATAAATATAAGCATGTTGACCAAAACAAGGATAAAATTGTCATAAAAAAACATCTAATTTCCATAAAAGGATTTCTAATATACAATTTCATTCATATGTAGAATTTATTGGATCACATTTTATTTCCATAATATTTATGGCTAAACAAATTCTTGAAAAGAGGCTTTTCACTGATTTTTCCGACACTTAAATGAATTCTATTTTGTTATGATTATTATCGTACAACTATTTGTGAATGCTTGATGTAGTATCTATAATTTCCCATCTCTCCTCAAGTTTTCTCTGGTGTTTATCATATTTTCAGAATTTAAAAAAAAAAAAAAAAAAAAAAAAAAATTAAAAAAAAAAGAAATTTTTGGTAGAGAGAGCCTCAAGGTACGATAAGCATTGTTTGATTCATGAATTTAGAGATGGATTTAAAAAGGGAATAAAAAAAAGGTAAGATATAAATTAAAAAGAAAAAGCTAAATGTTTTTTTTTTTTTGAAAAAATTGAAAAATTAAATTATTTTTTTGGATAAAACTAAAAATTTTGTGTCTATAAAGAAGCATGATGATGGAACATTGATGTGCAAAAAAATAAAAAAAAATAAAAAAAAAAACTAATAATGTTCTCGATTTTTTTAGATAGTTGAATCAAACTAATAAGTAGAAGGGCAAAAACGTTTAATTCCATATTCTGTTTTCCCCCCCCCCCCATCAATTAGTGAAACAATTATGTACAACATTACTATATAAAATTGATAATGTTGTTAGTTTTATAAATTGGGAAAAATTGATAATATTTTCAATTTTACTAAATAGAATTTATTGGTTTAAAAAATATTGGATAAGACCTGAGTATGCATAACATTTGTAAATAGGACTTTTAGGTAATTAACTCTTTCCACTTAGTTAATGTTAATTTTTTTTTTTCGTTTTTTATTTTCCTAATCAGCAAAAGAGAGAATTTTATCTTCACTTTTTATTTCTCTTCTTTGATAGCTCTCTTTTTGTTTTACCTGCAGATACAGATTGAGAGAGCTTTATCCTCTGAAATTCGAATCTCAAACTAGTTTCTTCTTCAATATTTGTTTCAAAAAAAAAAAAAAAAAAAGAAAAAAAAGAAGAGAAAAAGTGGATTGAAAATGAGTGCCCTGCAAGGTGTATTTTCAATTGTAGGGGCAATTGCAGGGAGATTAGTTGAGCCAGTGATGCTCCACGTTGGTTTTGTTTTTCAATACAAGAAGAAGCAGGAGAATCTGGAAGTTGAAATTAAAAACCTTGAAGAGCTGATAGAACAAATCAAAGAAAAAGTTGATGAAGCTATTACTCGTGGTGAAGAAGTTAATGAACCTGTTTCAAATTGGCTAGCGGAGGTGGAAGAAAGAGTTCCGGAATTTAAGGATGAAAATACTGTTAACGAAAACATGCAGTGCTCTGTATTCTTATGTCCGGACTACATCTTGCGTTACAGAATGGGCAAGGAAGCCGAAAACAAGATCGCAGAAGTAAAAAAGTTCACTCAGAGTGGCAATTTTAGCACAGTTGCACTTCCTAAGCCATTTGCTCAAGAACTTCAATTCACATCGTCAAGTACAAGCTATGTGAATTTTAAGTCGCGAGAATTGGTTTTCAATAACATCATGGCGGCATTACAAGATTCCAATGTTAAAATGATTGGAGTATATGGAACAGGAGGGGTTGGAAAGACGGCAATGGTCGAAGAGATTGGCAAACTAGTGAAAAATGGACTTTTTGATGAAGTCGTTGTGGCAGTTGTCTCTCAGGATGCAAATGTGAGCAATATTCAAGGGCAACTCGCTGATCGCTTGAATTTGGAACTAAAAGGGGAAACTGAAGTGGGAAAAGCAAGCAAATTGTGGAATAGATTGAACAATGGGAAGAAAAATCTCATTATATTGGATGATATGTGGCAAGAATTGAACTTGAAGACAATAGGGATTCCTATCACTGATGGAAACAATTGTTGCAAAGTTGTGATAACGTCTCGAATCCGAGGTGTGTTGGAAATGATGCGTGTTGATAGATATGTTCCAATGCAAGTATTATTAGAGAAAGAAGCATGGGCCCTATTCAAGACAAAGGTGGGAAATTCTATCGATTCTCCTGAACTCTATGATATAGCTGATGTAGTTTGTAAAGAGTGTGGAGGCTTGCCGGTTGCTATACTTGCAGTTGGAGCTGCTTTGAAAGATAAGAAAAAATATGTTTGGGAAGATGTACTTGATCAATTCAAAGATTCCATGCTAAAGAATATTGCAGGAATCGATGCAAAGGTGTATGCGGCAAGGAAATTCTAGTAAAACATGGTGACAAAAAGTGGCCCGGCAAGGAAATTCTAGTAAAACATGGTGACAAAAAGTGGCCCGGCAAGGAAATTCTAGTAAAACATGGTGACAAAAAGTGGCCCGGCAAGGAAATTCTAGTAAAACATGGTGACAAAAAGTGGGATGGCAAGGAAATTCTAGTAAAACATGGTGACAAAAAGTGGCCCGGCAAGGAAATTCTAGTAAAACATGGTGACAAAAAATGGCCCGAGAAAGAAACATGCGAATCTTCCTCAGCAATGTCATTAAGGTTCAACAACACTCTTGAGCTTCCAGATGATTTGGTATGTCCACAACTCCACACCTTGACCATGCTATTGAGTTGGAATATCAAGCCTTTGCTTAATGTTCCAGATAGGTTTTTCAGTGGAATGGAGAAACTCACGATTTTAGAATTGAATAGAATCTGTATGTTGCCTCCATTATCTCTTGCAAATTTGGTTAACCTTCGGATGTTACGGTTAGATTATTGTGAGTTGGGAGACGTAGCTATACTCAAGGATCTAAATAATAACCTTGAAATACTTAGCCTTCGAGGTTCTAATATCAAGGTTTTGCCATCAGAGATATGACAATTGACTCGTCTTCGGTTGTTAGATCTGGGAAATTGTTACCAGCTCACAGAGATTCCACAAGGTGTCATATCTAATTTGTCTCGCCTGGAAGAATTATACATTTTAGACGAGTTTGGGTCTAGGGTGGAAAGAAGCAAAGTGAATCTTGATGAGTTGGGGAAATTGACGCAATTAACCACTTTACAGATTCACATACCAAATGTCATGCTATTGCCCAAGGACTTCTGCTTTGAAAACTTGATCAGATTTCAAATATCAATGGGTATGATATATGGTTTTTCTGAAATTTATTCAAAGTCGTGTAAACTTGGGGGTGTTTCCTTAATGGACAAGTTTATGGTTTTGTTGCTGAGAGCTGAAGAGCTACATTTGGAAAAAATTGAAGGTTTACAAGAGGTGCTGCATGACAGAGGTGGAGAGGGGTCTTTGATGGAACGTCATCGACTAAATCCATCAGGCTTCTTCAATAATTTAATTGAATTAAAAATTCGAAATTGTAGATTGAAATATCTCTTCTCCCTGTCCTGTGCAAGAGGATTTCCACGACTCCAGAAACTACGAATAGTTGATTGTGAGATGATGGAAGCAATAGTTGGAATTGAAGAAGAAAAAGATGAAGATGAACTCTCAAGTCAGGTAATAAATATCAGTCAGTTGGAATATTTGCATCTCCTGAATCTACCCAAGCTCATAAGCTTCTACCCCAAAGTGGAGAAGATGACAACATCTGAAGGAAATTCTTCTACCCGGGCACAATCTTTGTTTAATGAAAAGGTATGCTTTATCAATACCCTTTTTATTTGCTTTAATCCATTATATCTAGTTATTATAAAATGCTTTATGCATTAGGAATACAATCAAACAGTGCTAGGTTATTTTCAATAAAAATCAAAATTGTTAATCCCTAAAAAAATCACCAAATGGTTGGTCACACAGTGGCAAGCATAAAATCATTACAACAAATTAAGATTTTAAAAATAAAAAATTATGAATAAAATTAATTTTTAAAAACAAAATATTTACGTTGTCAAAAGTGTCGTTTTTTTATACTTAGCAATGAAATTAGATATTTAGTGACGAATTATTATCATTTATTGACCAAAATTTGTCTAAAAAAGTGAACATCTTATGCATCAAATTGTTTTCTCTTAAAGTGCATTTATTAACCACATTTTTTAAATTTTGATACAAAAGTTGTTTTTTGACTTTTTAACAAAAATTAGTCCCTAAATGTTTCTCCCTTCATTTTTGGGACAAAAATTTGATTTTTAAAACTCTTTCTCCCTTGCCTCTATAAATGAAGAGAAATATCAATTATTTCTATTATTTCATTTCCACGTCAAATTTAATTAATCAAATTTTTTTGTCACCGAGTATTCCAAATGAAGTTTTAGGGATTGGTTTACTTTCAGATTTGCTACTAAACAAAACTAATGTGCTCCTAGCCCCCTACCCATAATCCATACGAAGTAAATTTAGCTGAAGCCCCAAAGCATTAATCTATTTTTTTATTTTAAATGTTAAAAATACGCATTACTAGCTCAAATTTATGGTGACAGGTAAATTAACCAAGTAAATTTTTTTTTTTTAAAAATTGATATAAGATTAATTATAAATATGAGAAATATTATAATAAACTAGACAATTAAAATTCAACAGTAGACAAAGCCATATATTGTATTAATGGAAATTGCCAACTGAGTTGTGATACATGTAATAGCTTGAAAATTTCAGAAATTCTAACGTTTAAGCTATGAAAAACTTTCGAGACTCTTAAAAAGATTCTTTTAATTTGATCAACAATAATGGTATGATTTGTTAAGTGTCAATTTTTAATTTATCACAAATCTAGTCATATAAGACATAACTGTCTTGTCACATCATTTTAGATGAATTATAATATTTAAATTGTGATTTTCTAATATTTCTATCCTAAAATCTAATAGTAAATGGGATTCAAACTCAAACATTACCATCAAACCTAGACACCAGAAAATATACTCTTATTTAGGAGATTCTATAAGTTTTTAATTTCAATACTCTAGGTGGAATTTAATGTGTTTTTAAGTCTGGAAATTCTACAATACACACCATTTAAAATGATTATCTTAATTATGATTCATGAAATCATATGTATCCCTAGTTATGTTATTTTCCTCTTTAGTTATGACATTATTTTAGTTCTGACTTATGAGATCTTTGGTTATACCTTATGTAATGTTTTGTTATAATTTATTTATTTATTATTTTATTTTTATTTTCTTTTAAGTTAAGACTCAGAAAGTATAGAATTATATAATTTTTTTCTTTAATTTATGAAATGCATATTTAAAGAGTGTGTATCATAATATTTCTCCTTTCAGTTTTGTCACGCCCTCAAAATAAACCCATAATAACCATAACATTAACATACTGCATTAAAAAGAAAAACTAAATCATTTGAGTATCATCAGAGTTTCTTATTGAAAAGCATCACATGTAACATCTGCAAACATCAAAATTAAATGCCCAGCTTAATCTTTCCAAGCTAACACTTGGAACACAAAAGGATGAGTACTAACTCATTTACAAAGTTAAGCCCTAGGGCTTGAATGTTTACATGAAAATCTGCAAAAAAAAATAACAAAATAAAAACATATAACTAAAGACAAGTCTTCAAAATCCCAAACATCAAAATCCTTCCAGGCTAAGTCGTGGAGTTAGCTTTATCACCTGAACCTGAAAATGATTTCGCCATAAAGGGTGAGCCACAGTCCCAGTAGAAAAATACTAAACCAAATATAAGCATTGAAAAAAGCATAGCATTCAATATATGGTTAACTAAGATAACCAATTTTTACCGCGTTAAACAGCTCTCTGACACTAATGTCTAAGACACATTCACTTTCCATATAATCAACATGGTCAGAACCTGGCCAACTACAACAGTGAATATATATCAATTCATATTACTTCCAATATCAACAAAACAAATGAGACTCATGCTCCATAACAAAACACTCATACTGCCCATTTGATACACATTTTAGTGTTGTATCAATAATCATGTAAAAACACTTCAATAAATAAGCACACATAAAAATGTGCCTAATGGAGTCCAGCCCTATCTCCTCCCAAGACAAAAATCCGGTTTAGAGTCCATGCCCCTATCTCCCCTAAACCGTGGTAGTACATCCCCTTATCTCCTCCCACACAAAACAAATATATGCAAATGCATATTGCTCAAAACAATACACGTATTTTCTGATTAATGCAATTAGTAAAATTAATGACTTAACCAATTGTGATTAGTTTCGGTTACCTAATTCCACATGCAATGCTACAAACAATCACGATACCTCCGAACCGATAGCCCAAACATATTCTAGACTGGAAATAAATATATCAACAATTCAATAGGTGAGTGATTTAAATTATCCAACTAACCATTTTAATCAATGAATTCCTCAATTCATTGAATTTAACAAATTCCCCAATTTCCTCTAAATTAATACCAAATCAATTTAGTAATTTAACTAGGGTTTGTTTTCCAAAATTTTCAAAGTGTCCCCACCTTAATCAAATAACCAAAACTTAGAACAAAGCAGTATAAAATGGAAGTAGAAAAATCCCTACTCGAAGAAAAATAACCCGTATGAGAAGATGGAGATGAAGACCAAAGACCAACGTGCTCCAAATCCCAATTCTCAAGATTAACACGAAGCCCTCAAACTCACTCTAACTTTTAATAAAGGATCTAAGGTAGAAACTCACTCTAAGTAGATCAATCGTAAGAGAGAGAGGTGTTGTAGAGGTTGAGAGAGAAGATAAAAACACTCCAGGGGCGGTTTTTTAGAGGTTATTAAGGAAAATAGGTCAAAAAGTGATCCAAAAAGTGAACACGGACTGATATAATCGACTCTACGCTTCAGAGCGTAGAAAGCCCCGTCGAGCGTAAGTCACAGAAATCATGCTCGAGCGTGGAGAAAACCGCTTATCGAGCTTCGATTGCACCTTCAGAAGTTTTGCAGCCTGGCACCGCTTCGAGCGGTCAAACTCCCGCTCGGCGGAAGGAGCAAAAAACAAGGGATCACGCTCAGCGTAAAAAAACTACCGCTTCGACGGAAAGAACTGCCGAGCAAAAATACTGGGAAGATGGAAAATCACGCGGTCGGGAGCGTAAAGATTCGCCGCTCGAGCGGTAGAAGCAACAACTTAAGGGACCGCGCGAGCGTTAAAAACTTCCGCTCGAGCTAAAGGCCAAAATCTGGGCAATCAACCTTATTTGTATCTAAAAATCAACAACCTGTAACAGGACCCGCCCACAACACAACCTTATACTTTCAAAATTAAAGAGATAAAGGACAACAACAACCATAAAGTAATGACAGGATCCTCGGAACCTAAGTCCGGATACAA